CAATGTGGAGTGTGCTTGGGATTCTGTCTCTCCCTGTCTCTCTGCCCCTCCCCTGCTTGTGCAGGCGCTCACTAGTTCTCTCTCTCTCAAAATAAACATAAAAAGATGTTCAACATCATATGCCATTAGGGATATGCAAATTGAAACGAGATACCACTACAGACCTATTAGAATAGCCTAAGTCCAAAACACTGATAACATCAAATGTTGGTGAAGATGTGGAGCAACAGGAACTCTAACTCACTGCTGGTGGGAACACAAGATAGTACAGACACTTTGGAAGATAGTTTGGCAGTTTCTTACAAAATTAAACATACCCTTAACCACATGTTCCAGCAATCAAGCTCCTTGGTATTTATCCAAATGAACTGAAAACTTATGTCCACAAAAAGTCTGCACACAGATGTTTATAACAACTTTATTCATAATTGCCAAATTTGGAAGCCACCAAGATATCCTTCAGTAGGTGAACGGGTTAATAAACTGTGGTACATTGGACAATGGAATATTATTACTCAGTGCTAAAAAGAAATGAGCTATCAAGGCATGGTAAGACATGAAGGACTCTTAAAATGCATATTACTAAGTAAAATGAGCCAATCTGAAAAGGTCTCATACTATATTATTCCAACTATATGACATTCTGGAAGAGGCAAAACTATGGCAACAGTGAAAAGATTAGTGGATGCCAGGGGTTGGAGGTAGGGAGGGATGAAAAGGCAGAGCACAGGGAGTTTTTACATCAGTGAAACTATTCTCTGTGATAATACAATGACAGATACATGTCATGTACAACACCAAGAGTGAACTCTAATGTAAATTATGGAGTTTGAGGGATAATGATGTGCCAGTGTAGGTTAATCGATTTTAACAAATATACCACTCTGGTGCAGGATATTGATAGTGGGGGAAGCTATATGCTATGGGACAGGGTATATGGGAACTCTCTGTGTTTTCTGCTCAATTTTGCTGTAAGCCCAGAAACTGCTCTAAAAAACAAAATTTATTAATTAAAAAACAACAACAACAACGAACTAGGAAGGTTCTATTTCCAGAATTACTAAGTACCTACTAAACTGACCTTGTAGTAGTTATAATCTACTTACACATAGTAAGTATTTAATAATAAATTGAACTGTATGGAATAAATAGACCTACTTTCAAGTCAACAGGCCTCACATTACTCAACAGATTCCAGACTTAAAATTAAAGTTGAAGGGTCTTAGGACATCCTGTGGACCCAAATATCACGATGTATTAAGACTGGAGGATATAATCTAATGTGAAGTTTGATTTGCATGGAACAATCAGTGCTGCTTTTCTCAACATCTAGGTAAGTAGAGAGTCTACAGCCATGAATTGGGCTTTTAAGTCAATTCTTCCCTGGGTCTGAGGCCCACCTGGATTTTCTACAGTGATCTGGGGAGAGATGATGATGATGACAGGTCACATTTATGGAGTACAAACTATGTTACACGTATTAACTCAAAGCTAGAGTCTACAGCCCTAGGCAGGCTGAAAAGAGCAGAAGATGTTCTCAATCAAAGCCACTTGCATAGGGAAGATTTAGTCCTGAACTCTAACTGCCAGGAATCTAAATAAAGAGACAATCATCTCAGAGAGGAGCAGACACTAGTAACATGCACAGAATTCACATTATAGTTATGAAATAATGTATAAGGTCTATACAAGCTAAATTTATTTCTATAGATGAAAAGGCCAGGTCAGAGATCTATGCTGTTTTTACAAAGTTCCAGTGTAGAGTGCACATAACCCAGTCAATTTGAGGGGGAACATACCTAAACACAATGAGAGCTTTACTTTACAGGCTCAGTATGCCTCCAATTCCCTGGTCCCCCCTGTGCTCTTGTGGTGTCTTCTAATATGAGAGTTAGTGTTTGAGAGTTTTATTGATTTCTGGAGAAGGGCCATGAGCACACTGAACAGCTGGATTTGAGCCCAGTAAAGTGAGACCTTTGTCCCAAGGACAAAAATCAATTTCAGAACCACAAGACTCTCATTGTACTTAGACAACTACTCCACATGCACCCTCATTTTCCTTCCTCCAAAGACACAGTAAACTGTGAGAAAAGAGACAAACCCAAGTGAAACAGGTCTGTCTTATCTGGCTTGATGACGAGCTGTTTCACTGCTGTGGTTTTTTTTTGTTTTTTTAATGTTTATTTCTATTTTTTTTCTATTGTAATCTGTACTTTTATGCTATTTTTTTTTAATTCTCTTTCAATTCCTAAACATACATCCTTACTTGAAATATTGCCCTATGCTCTGTGGACAATTTACAAACACTTAAAATATTTTCCAGGAAAATTTCATTTCATTTCAACTTGTGAATCCTTTAAGCCTTTTTTTTTTTTTTTTTTTTTTAATATCCAAGTTAGTTAGCATACAGTGCAATAATGATTTCAGGAGTAGATTCCAGTGATTCATTTCCTATGTATAACACCCAGTGCTCATCCCAACAAGTGTCTTCCTTAATGCCCCTTGTCCATTTAGCCCATCTCCCCACCCCTAACCCCTCCAGCAACCCTCAGTTTGTTCTCTGTAAGAGTCTCTTATGTTTTGTCCCCCTCCTTGTTTTTGTATTATTTTTGCTTCCCTTATGTTCATCTGTTTTGTATCTTAAATTCCTCGTATGAATGAAGTCATATGATATTTGTTTTTCTCTGACTAGTTTCACTTAGCATAATACCCTCTAGTTCCATCCACAGAGTTACAAATGACAAGATTTCATTCTTTTTGATTGCCGAGTAATACTCCATTGTATATATATTCACCACATCTTCATCCATTCAGCTGTCAATGGACATTTGGGTTCTTTCCATACTTTGGCTATTGTTGGTAGTGCTGCTATAAACATTGGGGTGCATGTCCCCCTTTGAAACAGCACACCTCTATCTCTTGGATAAATACCTAGCAGTACAATTGCTGGGTTATAAGGTAGTTCTATTCTTAATTTTTTGAGGAACCTCCATACTCCTTTTCCAGGGTGGCTGTACCAGTTTGCATTCCTACCAGCAGTGCAAAAGAGATTCTCTTTCTCTGCATCCTCGCCAACATCTGTTGCTCCCTGAGTTGTCAATTTCAGCCATTCTGACTGGTGTGAGGTGGTATTTCATTGTGGTTTTAATTTGTATTTCCCTGATGATGAGTGATGTTGAGCATCTTTTTATGTGTCTGTTAGCTATCTGGATGTCTTCTTTGGGAAAGTGTCTATTCATGTCTTTTGCCCATTTTTTTCACTGGATTATTTGTTTTTTGGGTGTTGAGTTTGGTAAGTGCTTTATAGATTTTGGATACTAACCCTTTACCTGATATGTCATTTACAGACATCTTCTCCCATTCTGTTGGTTGCCTCTTAGTTTTGCTGATTGTTTCCTTCGCTGTGCAGAAGCTATTTATTTTTATGAGGTCCCAATAGTTCATTTGTTTATTTCTATTTTTGAAAGAGCACAAGCGGGGGAAGGGCAGACAGAGGGGAGGGGCAGACAGAGGGGGACAGAGGATCTGAATCAGGCTCTGTGCTCACAGCAGTGAGGGCTTGAACTCACGAACTGTGAGATCATGACCTGAGCCGAAGTCAGAGAGACACTTAACCTCTGACCCACCCAGGTGTCCCGCTTTGGTACTCTTTTATTGCCCAAAGACTGACAAGGCCTATGGCTTACCAAACCCAGGCAGCAAGCTCTAAGTGGCTTCCCACGGTTTCAAGCCTGCTCCATTTCCATTACCCCAGGTCTGGAATTTCCACTGTAAATAATGTAGCAACGAACAGTGTTTAACCGTGCAGCAACCCCTTTAGCAAATGCTCCCCTGGGATGCAAAAATACATGTCTAGGCTAAAATATATGTCTAACTCAAATGAAGTCTTCTGCCTTATAATTTTTTTATATTCCTCAGTCATAGGTAAATAAATCAGTCCTCATACTGGCTAGAGGAGCTCACGTTCCAAAAGGAGGAGAGTCTGAATACATGAGATCATTTGCTTCAATTTCAGTATGTGAAATCAATACCAACATAAATATTCCTCTCACTTTTGTTGACTCCTTTTCTATTTTTTATGAGTTTATTTAAAAAAATTTTTACTGTCTATTTTTGAGAGAGAGAGAGAGAGAGAGAGTGAGCATAAGCAGGGGAGGGGCAGACAACGAGGGAGATACAGAATCCAAAGCAGGTTCCAGGCTCTGAGCTGTCAGCACAGAGCCCGACACAGGGCTCAAACTCACAATCCATGAGATCATGATCTGAGCCAAAGTCAGACACTTAGCCGACTGAGCCACTCAGGTGCCCCTGTTGAATGCTATTCTAAATTTTTTTTTTTCAACGTTTATTTATTTTTGGGACAGAGAGAGACAGAGCATGAACGGGGGAGGGGCAGAGAGAGAGGGAGACACAGAATCGGAAACAGGCTCCAGGCTCTGAGCCATCAGCCCAGAGCCTGACGTGGGGCTCGAACTCACGGACCGCGAGATCGTGACCTGGCTGAAGTCGGACGCTTAACCGACTGCGCCACACAGGCGCCCCTGTTGAATGCTATTCTAACAGAGAGAAAGTTATCAGGAGTTCCATGAAGCAGAAAACCATCTTTGTGAGAACTTCCCCTTGGCCATGGTAGGACAAAATGTTAATGAAGCCCTCTTCACATGGCCCCAGATGACTAGAATCGTAACACACTCTCAGTATACCAGAACAGAGGCCATGAACCCAGGATACATACCTGGCCCCAAGATATGTACAAGACCAAAAGAAAAGGTGGCAGGTTAAGGCAAGAAACACCTAAGTCAAAAACAGACTGAACACATTCTCCCATAGAAAGCATGCCCATGAATTCTGTATGCCTCAGTCAGCCACATGAAATGACAATGTGATGTGCTGAACTACACAAAGGGAGAAGTAGGAAAGAAATTAGGTGTCACTGACCACTCTTTTCATTCTGCCTGTCCTTTTTATCATTCCACCTTTCTTAACCTTCAAGCACTCACCTGTGTGGCCATGGAGTGGTGAGTGTGGCCGTGGTAGTGTAGGTGATGTGCTAGAGGTCACAATCAAACTCTTACGGTTACTTGTCCGACAACTGCAATGAAAACACAAATGTCAGTTATAACAGGGGCCCACCTTGGGCTCAAGGAACGTAAATGGCTATTGAAGAACAAAAGGGTGACACCATTACATGAGCTGAGCAGTATACCACTTTCAACTGAACCAGGTCAGCAAATCCTGTTTGCCCCAGAAAGATTTCATAATTCATTGTGTTCCACCTTATAATAATTTGTCACCGTCTTGACTTTTGTATTACTACTGCACTTTTCCAATGTTTAGATTTTGCTTCCCAAGAAAACACAAGGAGCTCCTCTAAAGGTAACAACCATGTCTTAAATAGTTTCTAAAGAAGAATGGTCATGGTAAATTTGATTTAGAAAACAAAAAAATACAAGTCACATTCTCATATCTCATAAAAATTAATGTTCTTGCCATAAAAATAAAACCATTAACTTAACCTGTGAAATTTATTTCTTAAAAACTGCTTAATCACTGAATGAAGTAATACTTTCATTTCACCATAAATTTTAGAACAGGCCTGGGTTCCTTCTAAAAACTCTTTCCATTACATGTTAATGCCTGAGGCTTTTTCTTGTAGTTGGGAGAAAAACAAAGCATGATGAAAAGCCACCTTATGCTGTACCTGCCAATGAAAACTGTATATAAATTTATTTGAAAGGCAATTTGGGAAGCTTGCCATTTATATTCATCCAAATATTTACCAAATACCTACTTTGCACCAGACAGTGTTCTAGATGCTAGGGAAGCAACAAGAAACAAGAGAAAGTTTCTGTCCTCAAACTGGCGTACTGCTTGAAGAAAGACAAAGATAGAGGAGTGGAGGGAAGGGGTAGAATGTTCAAGAAATAGTAAAGTGGGTGACAGGAGGGGAGAATGACAGGAAAAGGAATAGCTTATAAAGGCTATGGGGGTAGGTCACAGCCAGACTCTGTAGGACTGGTAGACGGTCATAAAAAAACTATTGGAAATGTCAGGAGAAACTACTGAAAGGATTGAGATCAATCTCAAGAATGCAATTATGATTAGAAATAATAAATACTCTTTCCTAAGAAACCATGAGGACGAATCTAATCATGTCTTACAGCCCTCATTATCTCAGTCACCATCATATCTCCAAGCTTCCTTTTCTCAATTTGACACAGTCTCCCTCTATTCTCTGATCTTCCAACAAAAAAGCTTACACTGTGCCTCCCATGAACTCATTCTGTCGTCAGCAAACTCCCTATATTCTCAACTTCTTTGTTCAAAAATCACTTTAAATTCAGTTCTAATTAAAACTTGGCCCAACACACACACACACACACATGACACCACAGTCCTGGTGAAATCCCAACACTTTCAAACCCAGCTTTCCATCTATTTTACAACCGCACTCAGGCAGCTGAAGATGACTAAAGAAAAATCCAAAATCATGCTGGCTACTGTCTCTTTATATTTATGATGATAAATATCAAGTGGGTCTCATTAACCATACTACAGTCACCTAGGCAATGTGTGCTCTCCCTCCCCCCACCCTCTCTCTCCAAGACAACTAATTTGCACCTTCTCTCCAAACCTCTAGTACTCCTTCCCCAAATCTCATCCTCATATGCTGACTTTGCTTTTTATCCAACTGGGTGTAAAAAGAAACAACACAAGGGGTGCCTGGGTGGCTCAGTCAGTTGAGTGTCCAACTTCGGCTCAGGTCATGATCTCACGGTTTGTGAGTTTGAGCCCTGCATCAGGCTCTGTGCTGACAGCTCAGAGCCTGAAGCCTGCTTCAGATTCTGTGTCTCCTCTCTCTCTCTCTGCTCCTCCCTTGCTCACACGTTCTCTCTCAAAAATAAATAAAGATTAAAAAAAAAAACACAAAAATATTTCATATTCCTGCTCTACAAATCCACCAACCTAAATTTGTACCCATATACTCATTTCTTATCTACAACAGCAGAAGGAAGACCATACTCCTATTGAAGGCAACTCCTTGAATCTCCTCCTTAAGAAGTCTGCACCTCCACTGCCCTCCCTCTCCTATGCCATGAATTTCTACTTCCTACTGAACCATTCTCATCATCATAAAAACATGCTGTCATTTCTTCAATCTCAAGAAAATAAAAAGAGGGGTGCCTGGGTGGCTCAGTCAGTTAAGCGTCCAATTTCGGCTGATGTCATGATCTCACGGTTCATGGGTTCGAGCCCCGCATCAGGCTCTGTGCTGACAGCTTAGAGCCTGGAGCCTGCTCTGGATTCTGTATTCCTCTCTCTCTCTGCCCCTCCCCACTCAGGCTCTTTCTCTGTCTCAAAAATAAATAAACATTAAAAAAAATTTTTTTAAAGAAAGAAAATAAAAAGAAAATCTTTCACAGACTTCCCTGACTTGTGCAGTTCTTTCCTCCCCTGTTTAGGAAAGAGTCCATGTAGGTAATTCTGTACTTGTCACTTTCACACCTTCATTTCCTATTGTCTTGTTAGTCCATTCTAAATAGTCATCCCCATCTTTGCCATTAAAACCACTGTTATCAAAATCACCAGTGATTCTGACCCTCATTTCATGTAACCTCTCAACATCATTTGCAGTTTCAACTCCCTCTTTAAAAAAAAAAAAATTGGGATATAATTTGCATTCAATAAAATATATAGATCTTAAGTGTTCTGTTCAATGAGACAATTATATACATCCATATAACATCCAAAACAAAAGACGGAAATATTCTATTACCCCAGAAATTCCCATGTGACCCTTTTCCAGTCAACCCCCTCGTCCCTCAACTACTTTCTTCTATCACCATGTTATTAATTTTGTTTTACTGGATCTCCTATAATTAGAATTGTACACCATGTATTTTTGTGTGTGTTTGGCTTCTTTTGTTCAACCTAATATGTGTAACTCTTCCTGAGATACTTTTCTTTGTTTAGTTTCTGGGACCTGATGATTTCCTGGTTTTCTTCCTCTCCCTAGCTGCTCATATTTTATTCTCCTTTACTTGTTCCTTCTCTTCCTGACCTCTAAATAATTTAGTACTGAGGCTCAGATGTGAAATATCTTTTTTCTCTCCCTATACACACTCCCTAAATGATTTTTTTCCAGTTTTCCAGTTTTAAATCTTTGATGTTGATGATACCCAGCATTTTATTGCTGACTCTGTGCTCTCTCCTGTGAGTGCAAGACTCATATATTCAAGTGCCTATTTGACATCTCCAACTGGATGCCTTAAAAGGCATCTCAAACTCACACTTCCACAACAGAGCTCTTGAATTTCTAAAATCTGCTACTCCTCCCTACATTGTACTATCTCATTGTATGGAACCACCATTCGTCCAGATGCTTAGGCAAAAACCTATGAATCGTTGCTTATTCTCTTTTCTTCACACCCACATCCAAAACAACCAGCAAGTTCTGTGGAATTATACCCTAAAAATATATCCTGTGTCCAAGCCATTCTATTTCCAATACTACCACTACTTCAGTTAAAGTCTATAAGATATTTTTTTAAATTTTTTTTAATGTTTATTTATTTTTGAGAGTGGGGGGAGCAAGGGAGGGAGGGAGGAACAGAGGGAGAGGGAGACACAGAATCCGAAGCAGGCTCTGAGCTGTCAGCAAAGGGTCTGATGCAGGGCTTGAACTCACAAACTATGAGATTGTGACCTAAGATGAAGTTGGATGCTTAACTGACTGAGCCACCCAGGTGTCCCAAACTCTATAAAAGATTTCTAAATGATTTTCCTTCCACTTTTGTTCTTCTTACTCATTCCCCTGCCCCTACCAGTCTTTTCTTCACCTCAGCCATAGTAATATTTTAAAAACCATAGATGAAATTATGTGAATTCCTTGTTTTAAAACCCCAATGGCTTCCCATCATACGTGGAATATAATTTGGACTCCTTACCACAGTCATTCAAATTAACCCTACTGTAAAGAATTTTGGGGGGCACCTGGGTGGTTCAGTCAGTTAAGCATCCAACTCTTGACTTCAGCTCAGGTCATGATCTCATGGTTGTGAGATCGAGCCCACGTCCAGCTCTGCACTGAGGGAGCAGAGCTTGCTTAGGATTCCCTCCCTCTCTCTGCCCACCTCTCCCCCTAGCTCACGTGCACACTTGTGCACACATGCACGCGCTCCTTCTCAAACTAAATAAACCTAAAAAAAATTTTTTTTAAGAATTTTTTTTGGGGGACCACCTGGGTGGCTCAGTCAGTTAGGTGTCCAACTTTGGCTCAGATCAAGATCTCTTGGTTTGTGGGTTCAAGCCCCACATCACGCTCTGTGCTGACAGCCCAGGGCCTGGAGCCTGCTTTGGATTCTATGTCTCCCCTCTTTCTCTGCTTCTTCCCCACTCATGCTCTGTTTCCCTTTCTCTGTCTGTCAAAAACGAATAAGCATTTAAACAAAAAGGTTTTTGTTTTTTTTTTAAATTAAGGATCTTAGGTAAGGTTTTGTATTTTGGGTTTTCTTAAAAAGAATCATACCTATGCTTATTCAATCTCTTGTTCTAAGGGCAAGTAAGATCTAAATATTCTCAAGAAAATAAACTCTAGACCCTTCAAGTTCTGAACATGAGACATTTTACAGAATGTACATATGAAATTATACTGACCATTGAAAAGCTTACCCAGATCAAAGGAATCCTGAGTAGAAAGATATCTCAGAGACTTCTGTACTTCAGGTCACTATTCCCTCAACAGTTACCCTTCCCTCCTTGACTTACTCAGTTTTACCCAATTTTTAGAAAGTATGAGCTCAGATTAGGTTTTATGTGAATTTTCCTTTATTCTTTCAAGCAGAAAAATGTTTCTCTTCCTCGCACCCCCTTAGCACTTGTGGCTTATCCTACTCACAGTCTTAGTGTCACTGTGGTACACTAGAAAGAGATAGGACTTTGCAATTAAAAGATCTGAGTTTGAGATTGGCTGTTTGACCTTGAACAAGCCTCATAAATTCTCATGCTCTGGTGTTCTAAAATATAAAATGAAGATAATATAAACCTTATGTGTCATTCTGGACTTTTCTCTTTCTTTTATATATCAACCCA